GCACACATCCCCTGCATTCCATCGAAACCACCCTCTCTCTGTTGGGAGTTTTGCCTTCTGTTGCACTTTAATTTTCAGTAGAAAGAGTCTTGTTGCTTTAGTACAATTAGATTAAATGTGTACAGAGCTGCAAATAACAGCTAGTATTTGGGTACTTATCATTTGCTGTGTATGTCTCAGGGCTGCTGTCCCAAAGCACCACATACTGGGTGGCTTCAAGAACAGAAATTTATTTTTTCACAGTTCTGGAGGCTGGAGCTCTGATAGCAAGGTGTCCGCAGGTGAGGCTGTGAAGGAGGCTCTGTTTCTGGCTTCCGGGGTAGTTTCTGCTGGTTTGTCAATCTTCAGCTTTTCTTGGCTCCCAGAAGCATCCTCCCAATCTCTGCCATCGCCTTCACAAGATGTTCTTCCTGTGTGCATGTCTCTGTGTCCTAATGTCCTCTTTAGTGTTTGTAATGCTCACTTGAGGATATTTTTCCCATTGCTTTTCAGAGAGAGGAGAAGGGAAGGAATGAAGGAGGAGAGAGAGAGAGAGAGAGAGAGAGAGAGAGAAACTTTGATTAGTTGCCTCCTGCATGCCCCAACCCAGCTGGGGATAGAACCTGCAACTCTGGTACATGCCCTTAACCAGGAATTGAACCCTAGACCCTTCAATGTGAGGGCTGATGTTCTAACCATGAACTCACACTGGCCAGGGCATACTCTCCTCTTTTTATGACACCAGCCATATCGGATTAGGCCCACTGGAATGACTTCATTCATGTTCACTGATTACATCTGCAATGACCCTTTTTTCAAAGAAGATTGCATTTTGAGTTACTGGGGGTTAGACTGTCAGCACATGGTATGGACTTGAACATGTCCATAGCATGTGCCAATGCTCTGCATATATTTTGTGATTTCATCCTCACAACAATGCCTTAGCGTAGTTGTTTTGAAGTTGAGGAAACTGAGGCTTAAATAATTCAGTAGTTTGTTCCTGATTGCACAGCCAGTAAGTGGCTCAAACAGGATTTAGGACCTAGACACTCTGATTCCCGAACCCAGGATTTTAACAACTTATTTTTTTTAAATGTTTTTCTTTATTGATTAAGGTATTACATATGTGTCCTTAGAGCCCCATTCCCTGCCCCCCACCACTCATGCCCTCACCCCTCTGGTGTCTGTGTCCATTGGTTAGGCTTATATGTATGCATACAAGTCCTTTGGTTGATCTCTCCCCCTTACCCCCACCCTCCCCTACCTTCCCTCTGAGGTTTGATGGTCTGATTGATGCTGTCTTATTTCTCCTTATATCCTTTTCAATTCCCTTGCCTGCAGGAAGTTATTCGCCAGAAACTAAGGAACATTAGTGGTAATTTCTAACATGAGTAGTAATTTCTGTGGTAGCCTAACACTGCCACCTGGCGGTGGAAAAATTTAAAGCAGCTTCCAACTTTCTGGCCCAAATTGCATTGCATGAAATGCTCACTGGCCTTTCCCCCTAATTACACCAATACAATCAAGTAATTATGAATTCTGCTTGATCCTGCTTGGAACCAAATACAAGTCATATGAGAAAAGAACAGAACAGCAAAAATTTGTACTGTTCTGAATGGATCTAAATTTTGCTGATTAATATATGGAACTCACCATAGAGAATGCTAGTATCCATTTTGCGATAATATATATTGAACAGCTTTATGTTTTAAAAACTTTTGTATTTTCTAGGCCTAAGCTGGTCTTACTCTGTTTTGAAAACTGGTTTCTCCTGAAGCCCTTGTTCTGATGACTCATTCCAGACACCATTTCTTTCTGCTGTTCAAATTTAGGATTAAAAAATAACACCAGATTAATTAGCAATTCCTAACCATTAACTGCTCTTTGAAAGAGAAAAGGAGAGGCTGTCCAGAAGAACTGGCTTTTTTGCTTTTTCATCTCTGAGCTTACAGTTTCCGAGGACTTTACGTGGCACCTCTCTCCACAGTTTGCATCCACCATCCAGTATGTGTTACCACAAGTTCAGAAGTGATGCAGCATAACATGCTCAACACTAAACTAGAAAAAAACCATATTGAAATCATCTGCTTTTAAAACCGTAAGACACCTTAGAGTTTATCTAGTCTAGATCCCACCACTGGTGTGTATTTTCACAGGGGGACGGGAAATCCTGGAGGAAAGGGATGCTGAATTGACTTTCGGAGGGTGATGGTCATAGTCAGAAAGAACTCATCACGGCTCCCTGTAACCTGCAAGGACACGGCCAACGTGGGGCTTGGGCCCCGAGCCTGAGCCTGGGGTGGGAGTTCTGATTGACAGCTTTAACAACGATGCTTTTTGGTCTTGGATCAGGCGCTTTCAACCACAACATCGGCATACTGCCAGTGACAGGTTGCTAATAAGTCTAGAACCACTACTTACAAATGCTTTTCCTCAAGCAATTTCAAACTTAAAGAAAAGTTGCCAGTACAGTACAAAGACCTCCTACCCCTCCCCCCAACCCCAAACCATCTAAGAGTTAAGTTGCCAACCTGATGTCCCATCATCCCTTAATACTCTAATGTGTGTTTCCCACAAGCAAGATCATTCTCTTAGATAACCTCAACACAGCTATCAAAATCAGGAGCTAACACCAATGCATCACTGCTATCTGGTCCTCACACCCCACCCAAGTTTTTCCAGATGTTCTAGTAATTTCTTTAATAGCAAAAGGACTCGGTTCAGAATGGAAGTGACTTTAGTGTCCCCTCTTTAGTTTCTTTCAGTCTAGAGCAGCTGCTCAGTCTTTTTTGGCTTTCCTTATCTTGACACTTGAAGCCTGAAGTTATTTTATAGATGTTTTTACATGATGCTTCCTCACAATTAGATTCATATTATACATCTTTGGCAAAAATATTATGTGTTCGTCTAATTGTACCTGATTAAGTGGTATGTAATTTCAATTGTCCCATTAGGGGTGATGTTCACACTGATCATTTGATTTAAGGTTATGTCTGCAGGCAGTGTTCCTTTGTAATGCGTGAGCATTTTGTGGGGAGATACTTTGAAATTATGCAAATATTCCACACCTCATCAAAATAACAATTTACCATTTTATATCGTGTGGACTCATAAAAGAGACCCAAGGAATTATTTGATATATATGTGTGTGTGAGTATATATATATATATGTATATATATATAATTTCATCTATTGTGTGTGTCACAGTGGGAAAACCCTGGGAACTATGGTCTTAAATGATGAAACAGGTTTACTGCATTTTTATGCTTTTAAATATGTTTTATTGATTTTTAGAGAGGCTGCCTCCTGCATGGCCCACACTGGGGATAGATCCCAAGACCTGGGCCACAACCCTGACTGGGAATCGAACTGGCGACCTCTTGGTGCATGGGTCAATGCTCAAGCACTGAGCCACAGCGGCCAGGCAGTTTACTACATTTTAAAACAATACCTAGATCAACTCAATGTCCAATTTGAACATAAACACTTAATAAACGTTTGTTAGTGAAACGTAATTGTCAGAGATAGCAATGGAGTTGGATAAATTCAGGCTAGTAATTCTGAGGAGGAAAAAGAATGGATTAATTCAAATGCAGGGTGGGTAAGACTGGCTGCACGAAAACCCAGAAGGGAGAAACCTGTGCAGGTAACACAGGAACGGCAAAGAGAAGGTGCTGAAGGAGCCACTCCCATTATAACCTTCAAGAATGGGTCTTTTCCAGGTTTTAGTGGCATAATTAAAGCAAGTCGTTAACACAATTCACCAGCTTCCTTTACTTGTTATTACTCTTCCTTCTTCCTAGGCGGTGGGAGTGCTTTTCCAACTAAAATAGTAATTAATCACCTCCCCCAGCAGGTGCAGTATGAGAAACAGGTCCTGCAGACTTTTGAAATACGCAGACTATTTCACATCAGTCTGAACGATGAATTGTTCATCCCTTCAACAAGAATTGATTGTCTGCTCTGTGCAAGGTGCTGCCCTGGCTATAGGAGGGACAATGCTGACGGGGCGGATAGGGTCCCTACCCTCAAGGAATCTGCAACCTCACAGTAGCCAGAGTCCAGGGACACTGAGGGGGATAAAGGCACAGATCACAGAGCCAAGGTGTATGAAGCAAAATGGGGACTTCAGTATTTTAGAGCAGCAGTTCTCAACCTGTGGGTCGTGACCCCTTTGGGGGTCGAACGACCCTTTCACAGGGGTCGCCTAAATACATCCTGCATATCAGATATTTACATTACGATTCATAACAGTAGCAATATGACAGTTATGAAGTAGCAATGAAAATAATTTTATGGGTTGGTGGGTCACCACAACATGAGGAACTGTATTAAAAGGTCGCGGCATTAGGAAGGTTGAGAACCACTGTTTTAGAGCCACGGATTAGTCCTTCAGACCACGAGGTCACTGTTTTGCTTGAAATGTTGTAACTCCACAGAATACACTCCCCCGAAGCGGACGTAAAGGATGTTTTTGTATCCACCCTGCTCCCTATGCCAGCAGGACAGGCCATTGAGCTGTGGTTACAATCCACTGCACTGGGTACGGCTCCGACCCAGACTGGTTCACTTTATCTAGTGTGGGGCTCCATGTGGGAGGCAAAGTTACAAACTCTTCCGAAATACTATGTACGAGGGATGGTGACAATAATAAGATCATTAAAGGGAGAGAGGGAGGTTGCTGGTGACTTAGATAATGGCCTTCAGACCTCCAAGCGGTAAATGACGGATGTTAGGCCACGAAACCTTTCCCTGGATTTGAGCCCAAAAACATTGTCAGGTTCCTAAAACAACAGGGAAGACTCATCGTCATGACCAGTAACCTTACGTCGATGCTGCTCGAGAACAAACACAGACAGAACAACGTGCAGAGTGGGGCTGGGGCCCCGAAGAAGCCGAGAAGCCGAGGTTCCAATTTCATTTTCAGTTTCCAAAATATTCCCCGGTCTGGATGTGGGGAGAAAGAAAGAAAGGTCCCGCGAGGCCACATGCAGAGGAAGGGCTGTCGGCGCAGGCTGACTAACATTCGGCTTCCTGCTTTTTATTTGATTTCAGTCTGAAAAACACAGATACAAGAATGGCTGGTGTGCAGGCCAGCCCAGGCCAGCACACGAGGCTTTGAAATCATCTGTCATTTCCGTCCCGTGGTGATCACCGGGGCTGCTGTCCAGAGGAAGGAAAAAGACCTGGGGATGGCTGTCCCGGAGATGGGTGTCCCCAGTCCCGCAGCCCCCCGGGGGCCCTGCCCAGGAGAGCGCTGTCCCTGGCTGGTCTGCTACAAGCAATCAACCGCCGTGGATTTCCTCCTCTGGGCCCGGCCTGGGCAAGCTGCCTCCTCCCCGGACAGGGCTGGTGCAAGGCCGGGAAAAGGATGCACTAGCGGTGATGGGGCCGCATGCTCACCCCAGGCCCTCTGAGTGTTTTCCTTACAGAGAACAGGAGGCTGTTGCTTCTCCTTTCTTCCCAATTCTTGTCCCTTCACGTGGTGTTCCCGGGTCCTAATAACCATAGATTTCATTTTCCACCCACCCACACTCCTTGCCCCTCCCCAGTCGGGCGTCTGGAGAGAACTCGTAGATGTCATTGGTCACAAAGCCGCTCTCGATGCTGGCCAGGGTGACGAACCCGCTCTCAGACGGGTTCACGGCCCCGTGGTCGGAGCCACAGGACAGGTCCTCGGGCGTGGCTTCTCCCGAGCACCCTCGGAAGGAAATGTTCTTCAGGTCCGGCCGGGGCTCGGCCAAATCAGCTTCGCTCTGTTTCCGAATGACGCTGTAAACCTCCAGGTCCGGGCTGTGCCCGGGGCCGGGCGAGGGCCAGATGGTGCGCGGCTCCTTCCCGCTGGGGTCTGGCTGCTCCCGTGTCCTAGGAGGGAAGACAGGGCTGAGTTTTCAGACGCGGGGACTGCGACCATCCCTGGGCCCGACCATCCCTGGGCCCGACCATCCCTGTGCCCGCTGGCCGGGCAGGAGGCCATCCTGGGCAGGCACGGCTGTGCTTCTCACCCTCCTGACCCCACAGTCAGGCATCCGCGGGGTGAGGGGGGAACAAAACAGGGCCGTGTTGCTAGACTCAAAGCGACTGTAAATCTACCACTCACTGCTGCCGGAGCATGGAACAGAGGTGTCTGTCCTGGGACCTTCAGAGCCCCCAAACGGTCCATGATAGAATGGGATGGGGAGAGATTTCACTTAAAAAAAACACCCCTCTTCTCTAAGTGAAAAAGGCCAGTCTTTCAATTCTAAGTGTAGGAAAATAAAGAAGAATAGAATCAGTAATATCTCTGACTTGATCAACAAGAGAACTCATAGATATTTTTGTGATTTCATGATTTTATAACATCACAGTAATAATAGATGCCTTAAAATAACTTCAAAATGATAATAATTACACCCACCACTAAATAAAGAAGCATCAATCAAGGAGCACATGTATTACTGTATCACATTCCTTTGGGGAAATACTTTGCTAAACTATATATTCGTATGATCGCTTCCCTTGCATCCAATGCATTTTATTTTATGCACTCAAAAATCTTTTTCGGGGGAAGAAATCGCTAGGTTTCACCAGACCAGGTGAGGGCTAAATAGGCAGAGGAAGGAAGAGAAATCAAAACCAATCGCAGAGTAAGCAGCCATAAGACACAATTGTAATTTTTTTTAACTGAATTCAATTTTTAGATGAAAAGGAATTAACTAGTAACAATGAGCACAGTAATAAGAGCGAACATGTTTGAGTGCTTACTCTATGCCCATTCTGCCTGTACTAACTGCTTTGATGCTAATAATTCTCTAGGGAAGTCGTTATTAAATGCAGCAGGTTCTAGACCAGCCGTGGGCAAACTACGGCCCGTGGGCCGGATCCGGCCCGTTTGAAATGAATAAAACTAAAAAAAAAAAAAAGACCGTCCCCTTTTATGTAATGATGTTTACTTTGAATTTATATTAGTTCACACAAACACTCCATCCATGCTTTTGTTCCGGCCCTCCGGTCTAGTTTTAGAACCCATTGTGGCCCTTGAGTCAAAAAGTTTGCCCACCCCTGTTCTAGACTCTTACTCATTCATCTTAAATTGGTCATCAAAGGGCGTCACATCTGAAGCTGGACCTTCGTTTTCCTGTTGTAGAGTGGGCACACCAGCCTTCTTCTCTGTGTACCAGGACAATGGGGGGAAAGGTAGCTGGGAAGCCATGGGAATCTCGAAAGTGTGGAACATGATCCATCAGTGGAGTGGCCCTAGGCCAGTGATGGCGAACCTATGACACGCGTGTCAGAGGTGACACGCGAACTCATTTTTTTGGTTGATTTTTCTTTCTTAAATGGCATTTAAATATATAAAATAAATATCAAAAGTATAAGTCTTTGTTTTACTATGGTTGCAAATATCAAAAATTTCTATATGTGACACGGCACCAGAGTTAAGTTAGGGTTTTTCAAAATGCTGACACGCCGAGCTCAAAAGGTTCGCCATCACTGGCCTAGGCTATTCGTGTAGGTGTTTTGTAGCAGTCCGCAATTGCTATTCAGTGGACAGAAAAGCCAATTAAAAGTATTTGGCTATTTCATTTTGAATAGAGTGATTCAGTTTCAGATGTTTGCCAGAATGTCTGAAAGAGATGTTTTCCATGTGTCTCACTATTCACTCCTCCACTCACTCAACAAACACTTTGGAGTGAGAGCGTGGGTTTCTGAGCACTGGGCTGAGTGGATGCAGAATAACAGTTTCACCCCTCAAGCCATTTAAAAAAAAAATGAAAGAAAGAATGCAAGATCACTCTCAACCACAGCTAAGCACAGATGCTTGGTACTTCAGAACGCCTAGAGCACGGCAGAGAATTTACTCTCAAAACTGCAGGGGTGTTTCTCTTGTCACTGCCATGGCTTTTAGTTAAATAAATAGGGCAATGTCCAAACCCGAGAGCTCAGAAGACAAAAGTTTGCATGACCAAGGTTTTACTTGCCTCCTCCTCCAGATCCACACCCAGCAGACAGCGGTGGTGACCAGCAGCAGGAGGAAGAGGGGGATGCCGGGCACTAGGAGGTACACAAGGTTCCAGGCAGCGTCTGAAAAGAAAAACGCACGGTCTCCGCATTACTGAAGTTGTTCTGTGCTTCAAACAGGCTGTAAAAAGCATAACCCACATAATCGACACAGAGTGTTCCAAAGGGCACCTCCTTTCAAAAACTGAGTCTTTTCTCCCTGTCCAATTATTCTAGGCAACAGAGAAGTTTAAAGTGTGGGTCGCATACAGTAGCAGAAAGGCAGTTTGGGCAATTACATTTTTTTTTTCCAGTTGAAAGATATTCTCTCTTCTTGTCCTTCCTCTCCCTTAACGAAGGAGGGGCTGTTAGGCGGTGTGGACATGCCCAAGGCAGGGCGAGGGAGAGGGAGGAAGGAGACAGTCACAGGAAGCACGTGATTCAGACTGCAGACGCTTCCCAACATTTCTAAGACTAACTGGATCCAGTTGGGCCCATGAGCAGACTTCTTCTGTCCTTTAAGTCTCAGAACCAGAGAATTTTCTTTCAAGGGGCTTCGGGAGGATCAAGGATTGGGGACTGACCCCTTCCCTGGACTGACCCCTTCCCTAGTCCGACTGGTCCAGGATCCCCATCCATCCAGAGGCTGTTGCTTTGTTTTGCCACAGAATCTGTTACACACACACACACACACACACACACACACACACAGGACCACTTTAAATACCACTTTAATAACAAAGAGCAATAAAAATGCTGCCCATCTTTGCATAGGACTGTGTACTTTTACCCAACACTTCTTGTATTATCTGTTGTAGAATAACACACTTGATTGGCCTTTGTCCCTGGTTCCTGGGAGGAAGGGGCTCCAAAACTTTGGAATTTCTCAGGTAATAGGAGTGATTGTTCTTCACGAGGCCCTCAGACCATATCAGAGTTGATGCTGACAGAGATGGCTCACAATGGGGCTGGTGGGAAGGCAGTGGGGCCTGGAGATTGAGCTCAGTGACATGACCAATGACCACATCAGTTATGCTAAGGTAATGACACCTCAGTAACACTTCTCACACCAAAGCTCAGTGGAGCTTCCTGGTCGGTGAACACACTGATGTGTCAGGAGCATGAGAAGGCATCCAGACTCTACAGAGAGAGGACAGGAGCTCCCTATTTGAGACCTTTCTAGACCTCACTTGATGTGTCTTTCATTTGGCTGGTCCTGATTTGTATCCTTTATAATAACATGTAGTCATAAGTATAGCATTTACCTGAGTTCTATCTCAGGAATCCTGGTGGCACCCCCTGGATTTATAGCCAGTTGGATAGAAGTGCAGGTGGCCTGTGGATCCCAGAACTTGTGGGTGATGTCTGAAGTGAAGGCAGTCTTGTTGGGGCCTGAGTCCTTAACCTGTAGGGTTGTGCTAACTTGGAGGGCTAGAGTCAGAACTTAATCACCATATCACAATATCCTATTTTATTTTATGGACACAGTTTCTCAGGTAGTGAGAAAAACATTATTACTTCCATTATGGAAATGATTAAACTGAAGCACAGAGAACTTGTGGTTTTTTCAAAGTTGCCCAGCGACAAAAACCCCAAATTTCCCTCTTAAAATTCAAGGTGGAGCCCCAGTCTGAAATTTCCCTCTTAAAATTCAAGGTGGAGCCCCCATAGGAGCATTGTCCCACACACCAAAAAGGTTGGAGGTTCGATTCCCAGTCAGGGCACATGTCTAGGTTTCTGGTCAGTCCCCAGTTGGGGTGAGTACATAAGGCAACCAATCAATGTTTCTCTTTCACATAAATGTTTCTCTCTCTCAAATCCATAAACTAATCCTGGGGTGGGGATAACAAAACAATAACAACTCAAAGTGGAGTCCAGGTTGAAAGTCCATTAGCACTCCAACTCATCACCCCATTTCCTATTATCTTTTATGATTTAACTTTTAAAAGGTTTTTGTTCATTTCCTTTATTTGTTCACAATTAATATTCATCATGGATAGTATGCAGCATGGTCTGCGACTCTGTTCTTA